AAATTAGAGGAATGAGATTGAGGCAGTTTCCAAAGGATCTGTGCCCATGGCAGCTCAAGCAGTTCAATATCTATTCGGGATTCTACCACTTGAAAGGAGGTTATACATGTTTGTATCTGCATAAGCCCTGTGAAATTTTGTTAGTGTCCAAAGTTTCAAATCTTAATGACAGTGAAAAGAGAAGTACAGTACAGCCTCCCATGGTTGTGGGGACTGCCCTAGTCATGCTGCCTAAGTGATGGGCCTTACAGAAGATACCACTTCTTCCCAAACCAAAGCCTTCAAGCCACTAAGAGTTTGATATCACATGTGCCTACTAAATAACTCGCATAGGGTATAGGTTTCTGAGGGAGCAAAAGTATGAACAGGTACTTTAAGATCTGGTGATACTACCACATTCTCTCAGTGATGAATTGAAGGTAACATGAACCTCAGATGCCAGAAGTGGGGCCACTTATGGTTTGGGGTCTTTTTCAAACCCCTATGGAAACTCTTCCAGAGCCTGAATGCCTCCATGGAAAGAGAAAGAGCAGTGGACACAATCTGAGGGATAAACAGTAGGTGAGGTTCAAGGAACACTCAGCAAAGGCCAGCCCAGGCACCTACCTGCCCATGACATCAGGGTTACATTTAGAGGGATCCATCAAGAGAAATGAATAGCAAACACAAGACCCCAGAGCACACGAAGCCAGTTTACAATGTTGGTAATAAAGAGACAACCTGCTGATCTCCTTGCCTCGCCTTCTTGCAGTCACTGACTTGGGAAACAGGTGGTATAGAAGCAAACACTTGGCAAAGTAGAGATTCCTGCCTGACGATGCAGCTGACAGGGAGAAGGGCAAGGAGTTGGCACTGTGAGTGAGGAGCAGAAAAATGGTAAGTACATGAACCCACACCTTTTCTTTCACCCAATTCAGCCTGTTTGCTCCTTCAAGTGCCATTATGACCCTGTCATCTAAAGTGGCTGGAAATGTCATGGGACAAGACCACTGCTCTGGACAGTAGGAGACAAAGAAGGCTTATGATGACACCTTTTGTGTCCTACACGTTCAATATTTTAGTTCCATCTGGAAACTCAGTTTTCTCAAAGGCAGCTTCCAACTCTAAAAGCCTATGTCTAAATGCAAATGAGTATTGTATTTATTTAATTAACAAATACTTCAATTTCATTTGCCATGATCCAGGTACCAATCAAAGCAGTTCATCAATATTAATCCAGGCCATTCTTTAAAACCCTATAAGGTAGGTATTATGAGGATTTCCATTTTAGTCAAGGAAAAACCAGAAGCATATAGACAGTAAATCATATGCCTGAGAGGATACAGGTAGCACATGGTTGAGCCAAGAATTGAAACTGCTGATCCTTCATTCAAGATGTCCATAGTCATAGATCAGAACTGAGTTCCTTCCTGGATTCTACTCCTAAGAATGGATGTAAGAGGGATGAAAGCATAACCACACAAAGGGTCATATATGAATGACCACAGAAGTACCTATATCATCCATATCATGGAGAACTATTCAGTGGAAAAGGAGTGAAGGCCTGGTACATGCCACAGCATACATGAGCCCCGAAAGCATACCACTAAGTGAAGGAGGTTAAACAAAAAACTATGTATCATAGCATTCCAAGGGTATGAAATACCCCAAACACAAAAATCTTTATACATACAAAGTTAATCCAATGATTGTCTGGGATTGAAGCAGGGACTGCAAATGGGGAATGGGGATATTTGGGGGGAGATAGTTCAAAAATAGGGTTGTGGGGCTGGGCATGATGGCACATACCTTTAATCCCAGCATCGGGAGGCAGAGGCAGAGGCAGAGGCAAAGACAGAGGCAGAGGCAGGTGAATCTCACAGAGTTCCAGGCCACCTGGGACTATCGGGAGACCCTGTCTCAAAAAATGGGATTCTGAAAGTGGCTACATACTTTGATAAGTTTACAAAAATTCATTGAATTGTGTTTTATCATTTTAAATAACAAAATTTGTTTATGTATTTTTATTTTATGTGTGTGAATCTTTTGCCTGCATGTATGTAAGTGCACCTATGCATGCAGCACCCACAGAGGCCAGAAGAGGTTGTTGGATCCCCTGGAACTGGAATTATGGATAGTTGTTAACTTCCATGTGGGTGGTGAGAACAAAACCTGGGTCCTCTGCAAGAGCAGCCAGTGCTCTTAACTGCTGAGCCATCGGGCACTCTTGAATTGTACATCTTAAATGGGTGGTTTAATGACATGTAAGTTATACCTCAATAAATCTGTTCCCAAGTCTAAATATTGTAACACTGATTTATTGGATATACTGAGAGAGAGAATACCATTATTGCTCTTGGTAACTACTTTTTATTTTGTTATAAATTTTCTAATAACATTTTTTTAAAATATGTTAAAACTACAACAAGAGAAGATGACTGGGTGTGTGGTTCAGTGGCCGAGCATTAGCACAGCATGCACAAGGTCCCGGTTCCATTTCCAACACCACCACTAAAAATGCTGTTGTAATTGATTCATTATACCTATGAGAAAAAGCCTTTCATAGGAACACAGGAGGGGAGCGATCCAGCCAAAGCAATCACCTGAAACAATTGGTTCTACCAAGGCGTAGTCAGTCTCAGAGCATCTATGAGGAAAAGTTCCACCATTAGCTACCAGATCCAGAGTTCTGTACCAGCCAGCTGAGACTTCTTTTCTACTGTCTTCAAAAAGTAATTACATGCAGGAGAATTTCCTAACCAAAATGAGATCCTTTCTTTATTATCCCCTAAACACCCGTGCATTATTTTGCAATGCAAAATTCATGGCTCCTTAAGCCAATTACTTGGGAAATGTGATATGACAAAATGAATTATACATGTGTTTTCTTTGTGAATGTTTTTCTTCTCAGGGATGCTAATTATGAGATAAGTTGTTGGGGGTTTTATGGTTTTGAAATAACTCCTTGTCACATCGGAGCCCCTCTTGCTATGTTTTGCCAAGCTAATTGGTGGCTTCCAAAGAGTAAGATATAAGTCATTTCCAGTTAGAGTTGTAAAATGCTGAGGGGGGAAGGGTTAATCATATATACATACTCATTTATAAATATATGTATGTTTATAACAAACAATGAAGATTCAACACACTCTTTATGTGGAGGACTCTACCTGGTGTGGCCCCATCCCATTTTCAGATATGTACTTCTGGCCTTACAACTAAAAAGTTGTTTTGACACATTAAAATTCCCTTTGATGGGGAAAGTGTCTTAACTGTGGGCATCCAGGGACTAACACACAACAATTCTGTTATTGAAGCAATGTCCTTTAAAACTGAGACAGTATTTACCAAAAGTAAGATCCAATTTGTCCATTCTACAACTTTGGTCATTCAAGGACAGAGAACAGTCACCTGCCATCTATACTTTATTTCAGAACTATAAGATTATGAGAGCTATTTCATAGTTCTATCAAGCAAGACCTTTATGATCTTTATATTGCTCCTTAGGAGACCACAAACTTTTACTTATTAAAAATAAGCACTTCTTTCCAAGGATCAAAGTTCTAGCTATAGTTGCTTTTAAGCAGGAATTTCAAAAAGCCGCAGGTAGCTTTTGGGCAGCCTTGTACCTACTGGTTTGGTAAATGGAAAACCAGCTGGTAATTTATATCACCCTTTGAATCCAGTTCCTGTCAACACTCAGAGTGTTTCATCACCAACATGTGGAAAAGAAGATGCCCACATAAAATAACCTATTTCCCAAGAAGAATTAGCCTCCTTTGGAAACAATCATATCAAAATACCAAGTGCCAGAAGTCACTAAAGTAAAGAGCTATTATTTATTTATTTTTATTTATATTTTGGTCTTTTTGAGACAGGGTCTCCCTGTAGCCACAGCTGTCCTGGAACTCACTATGCAGACCAGGCTGGCCTTGAACTCACAGACATCCACCTGCCTCTGCCTCCCCTTTTTTATGATAGACCAATAAAATGCTGTAATAAGTTACACAAAATTATTCATGATTTTAACCAGCATGCTGCCAACTGTTATGACATACTGCCATTTTACTGACTAGGTAAGACTCCTTAGGAGACCAAGCAGAGGCCTTTGTCTATCCAGCTTGTGCAAGGCCACGAAGAAAGTAGTGTAATCTTGGTGCCACAAACAGCTGGCGAAGTATGTCACTGTAACAAGGTTAAAATACTTTAACGTCAAAGGAAATCCATCACCTACTTTAAGAATCAACTGCCACCCTGTGCCAAGAAG